ATATTAATTATTATATAATACTGAAGCTAATTAATAGTAATTAATAATCTATATATTTATTATATTAAAAAATATAATAATTACTATTATTCTAAAGTTATAAAAAATTATAAATAATAAATATTAATAATTATTATATTTCTAATTTTTACTAGATACTAATATTTTTATAATAATTATTATAAGAATTAAATTTTTTAAAGTTTTCTAGATTTTACTAGTTAGAATTAAAATCTTCTTTAATTAATTCTAGTAATAAAGAATTAGATATAATCTTTTTATAATAATAATTTCTATATATATCTAGTTATTACTGAATATAAAGAAATTTACTTTAGTCTTTACTGAGTATACTCTTTCTATTTCTATTATTATATATATATATAAGTAAAATTAAAGATTATTATATTTATATTTAATAAATTTTATAACTAACTAGTAATTACTAATATAAATAATAAATTATTTATATTAAAAGATAAAATTAAAGATTATTATATTTATATTTAATAAATAATAGAGTACTAAAGAAAAATATTTTTTATTTTATTTTATTAAATATATTTAATAAATTATAATAATATCTAAATTAGAAATACAAGCTATAATATAAAATTTTTTATTCTTTTTATTTTAATATCAGAAAATTCTGGAATATTACTAGTAATTTTTAATAAATAAATTATTTTTTTTATTTTTTTAAAATTACTTTCTGTTATTTTTTATATATTTTATCTAATTTTTTAAATTTATTAATTATTTTTAGATCTACTTGTTCCTGATTATTATTAAAAATAAATAAATTATCTTAAATAAAAATTAATCTTTTTTTTATAAATATCAAAGATAAACTAATACTTTTATATCTTATCTAGTATAATTAAAAAATACTAGAAGAATCTAGTATATTTAATAATTTTATAAGATTAATTATTAAAGTACTTAAGATACTCTGATATATTAAAGTTTTAACTTATTTTTTTAATTAAATTAATTATTATTAATAAGATAATAAATTTAATTAAGAAATAATTAATCTTTTTTAGAAGTTTCTGTTTGTTTTTTAGATGTATATATTAATTATTAAAAAATTAATAATATATTATAATTAAAAAGATTTTTTTAATCTTAAAATCCACATTAATCTATCTGATTAAATTTAAATTTTATTAATAAGTTTTAATAATATTATATATAATAATAATACTTACTATCTGATTATATGGAGAAGAGGAAGATTAATATTATTAATATTTATTTATTAATAAATAGATTTAATTAGATTTAATATTTTTTGATATTTTTTAAATATATCTAGTAATATCTGAAAATATATAATATTTAATTTTAAAAGAATTTACAAGATTTTCTTATATGTAGTCTACTATTGGATTATTATATTAAATAATTTATAAAAAATATTTAATATATTTTTACAGTGATTTTCAAAAGATACTATTAGTATTTATAATATTATAAAAATTATTAGATAATTTTAAAATCTACTGATAATATCTTATTTATAATATATTTAATAATAAATAAAAATTAATTAAATATATTATTACCAAGTTCAAGAATTATTAATAGTAATTAAATATTTTCTAAAATTTATAAAGAAAATTAATAAAAATTAATAAAAATTAAAAAAAATTAATAATACCAGAAATTTATTTAGAATATATATTTATTATTACAGTTTTAATACTAGTCTTATAAATATGATTCTATTTAATACTGATATTTCTAATTTTTTTTAATAATAAAAATAGTATAAGGAATAACTGGTAATATATTTTTATTAAATTTTTATTAATAAAGATTTAAGTAAGAATAATATCTGATTAAAAAATATTAATTATATTATTATATAATAATTATAATTAATATTTATTATTTTAAAATATTTTATTTTTAGTTGTAAATACAACTTCACAGATATTTTTAGTAATTTTTTTAAATATTATATTTATTTTAAAGAAATTAATAGATTTCCAGTACTTAACTTATTCTTAAATAAAATAAATAATCTATATATTAATTTTATTATTATATATATCTTAAATATAAGCTGTTCCAGGAATTTTAAAATTTTTTAATAAAAATTTATAAAATACAGCTATTTCTAGTTAGTAATAATTCTTTATAAATATATATATATATAATATATTTACCTTTGTATCCTTGACTGAGAGAATTATATAAAAAATATTTTTTATAAATTTAAAATTAGATTTTGTCTCGTGTAATTAGTAATAAATATAATTAATTAATATTATTTAATTTAAAATATTTTAAGTATACTTGTAATAATATACTGTAAAAAAATTTATTTATATTTTATTAATTTTATATTAATAGAATTTAGAAAATTATTAAAACTTATTAATAATAAATAAATAGATATTTTAATTTCTGACCAGTTATATAATATCTTTTTAAATTTTTATTAATATTTTTCTAGATGGAGGTGGTGGATATATATAAAAATTAAAAAATACTAATAAAATATATAATATTTTATTAATATCTTCTAGTAAAATCTAGAAGAAGATAACTAGATAAAAAAAAATTTTAATAATAAATATTTTATAATAAATTATTTAAATTAATATAAATAATTATTAATTAAAAGTGAAAAGAATCAGAAAAAATTAAAAAAATTAGAAATAATTTTATGATACTGGAATTTTCTAATTATAATTATATTAAAAAATATATATTCAGTTTTATTATTTATTAGTTGTTATTCAGTTTCTCTATATAAACTAATAAAATAAATAAAATTAATATTAAATATATCTAGTATTAACTAGAATAAATATATTCTTTAATTTCTAGAAAACTAGTAGCTATATCTTATATACTTATATAATAATTAATTCTATTACTATTAATTTATATATATATAATTAGAATTAGTACTTACCAGGTTATTTTAATTTTAATTAAAAAATCTAATAATAAGTCTTTCTTTTAAATAAGTTTAAAAATATTTTTATCTTACTATTTAATTTATATTTTAAAAGTAATTTCAAGTAATTTATTTAGTTTAATTATTATTAATATTCTATTATTAATATTCCAAGATAATTTATTACTGAATTTCTAGATTATTCCAGGTATTACTAGTAATCTCTATATAGAAATAATAAATTTTAAAATATTTTATAATTTTAATATAAATTTTTATTTTTAAATATTTTTATTTTTATAAAGTACATGGTATTCTACTGAAAAAAAGATATTATATTATCTAATAAAAGTTTTTTTAAAAATTATCTTTACTATACTAAATCTAATTAAATTAATATAGAAATTATTAGAAAATAATAAAAAGATAATACTTATTTATATAAATTATTAATATCTTTTATAGAAAATTATTTAATATTTATATAATATTTATAATTCTTTTTAGAAGTTTTTGGGTACTCTGGTAATAATAAAATATATTTAATAATTTTAAAAAATTAAAATTAGTTATTAATAAGAGAAATATAACTTAAAATTAATAAAAAAATATAATTCTGAATAAAATTAGAAAAATTAATATTATATTAATTATTACTAGTTAATTAATTTTCTTTATTATTAATAAAAATAGTATTTTTTTTATTATTATCAGTAATAATATTATCCTGATATTAAATATTACCAGAAATACTAGAAAATTCTAAGAATAAAAAAAATATAATTAAAATAATATTCTAATCTAAATCTTATATAAGATAAAATTGAGATATTTTAGACTTTTAATAAATATTATTATTTCTAATAAATATTAATAATTAAAATATCTTATCAAGTACAGAGATGGAAAAAAAAAAAAATTAAATAAATAATAATTAATTAAAAATATATATTTATATTTATATTTAATTCTAAGTCCTATATTCTATAAATATTAATTATAATAAATATAACTAGTTATATTCATTTACTAATATAATATATAAGATTATATTTTAATATAGATATATATATAAAACTTCTAAGTTATATTAAATAAAGCTTATCTTAATATTTAAATTATATTAATAAAATATAAGTCTACCAGTATCTGCTGAAAAGAACTAGATATAATTAATAATTTTAAAATAAACTTATAATACAAAAATATTATTAATATATAAAAATAAAAATGGAATAAATAATATTTAATATATATATAATAATCTATAATTAAAACTCTCTAGATTAAGATTTTTTAATCTTAACTAGTAATTACTAGATCTTTTAATAAAATTTAATTAAAATTTTATATAATATAAGATCTTGCTAGATTTACTACCTGGTAAAACAGTATATTTTTATAATTTAATTTTTTTAATAGTTAGTACTAGTAACAACCAGGTCCTATACTGGTAAGAACCAAAAATACATATGACCTGGCGACCTGGGGACCTATACACCCCTTTCTCACGTACTGCGCTACATAGTGCTTCAGAGTCACCTGAACAAAATGTGACATGGAAAGATTACAAAACCAACAACATAAGTATGTCAGATCACACCGATCTAGCACAGCGCACAGATATCGTTTTACATCCTGAACGTCCAAAGCGTGGACCCATAAACCTCTTCCACCAATTACATAGCCGCACATGGTTATGTCCTGAACTAAGGGAAAGGCTCCCTCAAAGCTTGGGCACTTTCTTTAAGATCCAATCATATTCAGAGTTTTCAGAAAGCTTTCCCCTCCTTCGAGGCTTATCGAAACGACAGCCTTGCATCCTAAGACCATGCCTATCATGTCGAAGGCATATTTCGCAGGACGATTAGCTTGACGAAAGCGGGTGCACTGCCCACTTGAGGTATCGTCCAATAATGTCGATTCAGTTGAAGAGCCATAGTCCAAACTACCATGGCCCCAAAGCCCCTTCTTATACATCGACTTGAGACGAGCAAAATATAGGAGCTTCTCTTCGTTCCACAGCATTATCTTTTCTATTGATTATCACTTGGATATGTTCTCAATGACACTACTCGCAGATGCACCTATGCAATTGGCTGTCCTGGCCGCAATGGCAATGACATATTGGCTATCCATCGCGGTCTACCGGTTGCACTTGTCTCCTTTAGCTAAATTTCCAGGGCCAAAGCTCGCCGCCCTGACTGGGTGGTACGAATTCTATTTCGATTATTGGAAAGAAGGCAAGTATATCTTTGAGATTGAACGTCTACATCAAGTCTACGGTATGTTCTTCGGCATTTGAAAAACCTCATGGATCGTGGTTAGTCTAAGGTGGCACATTTCCAGGACCGATTGTGCGAATAAACCCCGATGAGCTATCTATTCATGATCCTGCATTTTACAACGAGGTTTACGTGACGGAGAGTAAGAGGCGGACGAGCCATTATGACGTGTTTTGCAAAGGGATTGACTTCGACGGTAAGTAGTACTCTTCGCTAGATGGAGACCAAATAAGTAGGACACTGAGATGTGGACCATTTCCAGGATCGCACCTTCTTACGGTTGATCACGACTTGCACCGCAAGCGGAGAAAGCCTCTTGAGCCCTTTTTCTCCCGGATGGGCATATCTCGCTTACAAGATATGCTAGCTGCAGTTGCCTTGAAGCTGGAGGGGCGTCTCCGCGAATTTGAGGGAAGGCACAAAGTGATCCGACTCGATCATGCCTTTTCGGCCTTTTCAGGTGATATCATCGGAAGGATCTGTCTGGATCGTGACGACGCTGGGGACGAGTTTCTGGATCACCCCGATTTTGCACCAGACTGGTAATATTGATTACTATATCACGGAGTATGTGCTTCGCCGCAAAGAGCTAAACGGGTCTGCAGGTACAATCTGATCCATAATCTTGTCCGTTCACTTCCGCTATTCACCGGCTTTCCTTGGATTGTTCAGTAAGTGGATATGCTAGACTTTACACTGTTGCATGCCATGCTTCGTGATACGGTTTGGCTTTTGGCTACTGGCTGACTGGACGATTGTGTTAGGCTAGTAAGCTACGTCCCTGAAGGGATTCTGCTAAAGCTCTTTCCGCAAGGGCAAGTCTTCAACACATTCAAGACCGTAAGGAGCAACCTCCTCTCTTATGACACCCCGTCAACCCCTCATTCAATGTACATCTGCGGATACTGATGTGCTGCTGCATTAGGTTGCGCTGCGTAACATCACCCGCATCTTGCGTGACAGCGAAACAAACAAAGAACACAGGAACAACACCTCGCTATTCCATCACATTGCCAGAAGCGAACTGCCCGAGTCAGAGCGATCTCCTGAGAGGTTGGCCAAGGAAGCGCAAGTTTTACTTGGGGGCGGAACCGCTAGCACGGCCCGGACCATCGGTTTCGCCTCCTATTACATTCTTTCTAACCCACAGATTCGGTCGCGTCTCCAAGAGGAGCTGCGAGAGCTCATGGCTGAGTGGCCCGACCGGGTCCCCAGCGCAAGTGAGCTAGAGAAACTGCCGTACTTGCAGGCCCTCATCAAGGAATCCCTGCGCCTCAGTTATGGAGTCATGCACCGGTTGCCTCGCATCTCGCCCGACATTCCCATCCAGTACAAGAACTACACAATACCCGTCGGGGTCAGTTAACTTCTCCGTTCCTGCCTGCGATCATAGACACCTAGCATTCCCCTATTGTTCTTTTTGAGATTATCATGCTGAGAGTTTCATTGCCTTATAGACACCTGTGGGAATGTCAGCTTATTTTATGCATTCCGACCCTGTGGTCTATCCCGACCCGAAGGTCTTCCGTCCTGAGCGCTGGCTCGGGTCCATTGACCCAGCCATGCATCAGCAATACGTGCCATTTTCTCGCGGATCACGTAACTGTCTCGGTCAGAAGTACGTTTCTCTCCCGCCTTGATAAGGCCCCTCGACCTTCTGGTTCCTTTACTTGGGTATACTGACCGAGCAAACCGTCTCGAACATGATAGTTTGGCCATGGCAGAGATGTCACTTATCCTAGCTGTGCTCTACCGGCCTAATGGACCCAAGCTGGAGTTGTATGATACGGACGAAAGCGATGTGATTCAAACACACGATTTTGTAATCCCACTCCCTAAAATCACGACTAAGGGAGTCCGGGCACTGATTCGTTGAGATGTGGCTCTGTCAGCGGTGGAGACAGCCTGTGCTTACAATGCAACCGCTATTTGTTAAACGGACTCCTACACATTCTTGTACACCTCAGATTAGTGCTAGAGAACCTCACTAAATCAATTCAAAAAAAAAAAAAAAAAAAAAAAAAA